GTATGAATGTGTGTTTCAGCTCTCTAACACAAAAGACCTCCCCACCAGACTGGAGAAAGGAATCATTAAGACCAATGCAGGTAAGAATGAAGTCTAACTGAAGGAGAAAATCATTTGTTTTGTGAAATTGTTATTCCATTAAGTATTTTTAATGCTGGATCTAAAACGTTTATTTTTTTATGATTTGTTATTTTCTTCCAATTTTCTGTTCACAGTTTAAAGTGTGAGCTCTGCATCACATTAAAACTGTTAAAATAGCCCAAATGGATCAATATTTCCCCTTAATACATTTGGACTTAAAGAAAAGCTTAACTCCATTTTAAAGCATCCACAAAGAATCATAAATTACCATAATTTAGTAATTAGAACAGACACCACAGAACAAAACAGGCATCAATGTTAATAGTTTGTATCTCATCTTTGGTTGTTTACAGGCGGTAACGTTGCCGTAGTGATCGGCATCATTGTCGCTGCTGCTTTTCTCCTCGTCATCGCTGTGATCGGATTCATTCTTTACAGAAAGAAGGACGGTGAGAGACCAACACATTTTTCTGCCCTTTCTCAGTGTTTTGTATTGAAAGTTCAAATTAAACAATGTAAAACATGATGTTTATGAAAACGCCTGAACACTAATAATGAGTATTTTCTTTTTATTTCAGCCAAGCGCCCTCAATCTCGTAAGTAAAACATTTATTTCATCCATCCTCTGGAAAGAAAACATACATACTTCATATTTTCTGCTGAGCAGCATTTTCAGGACTGTTTCTGTGAGTTTTTTGTTAAAGATTCAGGATGTATATAACTCTTTTCTGACCTTCCAGCTGTAGTAAATGCTGAGGTTCAGGAGCAAATGATCCCAAAGGCCTGAAAAACAAGCAGCTGTGAGCACGGTGAGTTCACTCATGTGTTAAACAAAGCAGACGGAGGCTAGAAAAGATAATGATTATTCACTGTTTAACTTCTGTCAGGTTTTGAAGGAGTTAAATAATTTTAATTTTCACATCACAGATTCAACTCATTCATTTAATGTTGACTGAGATTATTGGGAGAAAACTTATCATTTTTGCATTAACTAACAAAACTCCACTGGCTTCCTGTCACTCAGAGAATAGACTTTAAAATAGCTCTGCTTGTGTACAAGTCTCTTCATGGGAAAGCACCAAAATACCTTTCAGACATGTTAGATCCATATTAACTAGCTCGGACTTTGAGAACCTCAGGTTCTGGTCTCTTGGTGGTGGCCAGAGTCAGAACTAAACAAGGAGAGGCTTCATTTCAGTTCCATGCTCCTAAAATCTGGAACAGACTTCCTGAAGATGTGAGACAGGCTTCAACTCTGAAAGAGTTGAAAACGCTTCTGTTTAACTGTGCCTATGGAAATTGAACGTATTTTGTCTGCACCCTTCACTTTTCATCTGTGTAATTTTGATTATTTTTCTTTTCTTGTTTGTCTGCTTTTAGATTCTCTGTGAAGCACTTTGAATTGTCTTGTACACAAAATGTGCTATACAAATAAACTTGCCTTGCGGTGGAAGCATAAAGTACATTTGTACATAAAGTACAACAAAAAGAGTAGAATTTGTTAATACATACTAAGTAATCATTTTAAAGATCATATCAACGCTCTGAATGAACCATTTTGCTGCTTTTAGCTGCTCCAATTTTTATTTTATAACAGTGATTTCTGTATATGTAATCTTTCGTCTCTTTATCTCTCCAGGTTTCTGGTACACAGGTTTCTGACATCACCATCCTCTTCTTTCAAACGAAAAATATTTATATATTTTCTCTACTTTTGATAAGACATGCTACGTACCGAATTACACAGGAAATTACTAGAGATTACATCCATCCATTTTCGTAACCATTAGGGATAATGGGGTCACGGAGCCTATCCCAGTAATCAGTTGGCGAGAGGCAGGGTCAACCAGTCCATTGCAGGGCCACACAGAGACAGACAAGGACAAACAACCACACACACTCAGATTCACTCCTAAGGGCAGTTTGTAATGTCCAATGTCTAGGTTTTTGGATGGTGGGAGGAAGCCAGAAAACCCGGAGAGAACCCACGCAGACACAGGGAGAACATGCAAACTCCACACAAACTCCTGGTTCCCCCGGGGACTTGAACCCAGAACCCTCTGGCTGTGAGGCTGTGCTAACCACCACACCACCGTGCTGCTCTAGAAATTACATAAATTGACAAATATATTGATGCAGTCATGATGCATAATGCAGTCAAATATGTATGTAGTCATTTCTGTTGTACAAATGATTTAAAATCCTTGTAAATAAAAGAGTTTCCTATTCCTCATTTTCCTCTTCTTACATTAAGAGACATATGACAATTTGATGAATATTCCAAACTATGAAAAATCACAATATTCTGTGTAATTCAAATCCTATTTTTTAATTATTAGGTTGTCTTGTATCTAAATCAGTCATCATTAACAGTGACATAATGATGTGATTTCAATTTATTTACTTTTGAGATTAAAGGGCCTTGGGATGTAAAACAAGCACATACATGTTCATACAGGTTTTTAGTGTAGTCTGGGCATTTAAACAACTTCCAACCTTCTATTCAGGCATGATGGATTTCTTACATTTCCACATTCCTGTATAGTACATTTTGTTATTGAAAATAAACAAAAACTTGGTTACTGAATGTTGGTAGCCTGAGCCTATAATGGAAAGACTGGAGTTCAGAACTGTTGTCATTATGAAGTATGTATGTGTTGTTTAGCTCTCTAAAACAGATGACCTCATCACCAGACTAGATAAACAAAAATCCTTACCAGTGAAGGTAAGAATGAAGTGATGAAGACAAGAATTGATGCAAGTTTGATGGCAAAAAGAAATTGAATACATAGGAATTTATATCCCCAAATACCACTATTATTTCCTGTGTGTTTCCCGTGTTAGCTGTGGCTACTTAAACAGCAGATTTAAAAAAAACAATAAATATTTGCCAAAATCTTAGCATCTAAAACTCATTCTCCTCTTTTTATGTTGTCGTTTAATAAACTTAAACTACGAACTAACTTTTCTTCCGTCTTTCCATTACGTTTGAATCTTCTCTTTTACTCTGCTTTTCAGCCAAACCTCATCCTCAGTCTGTATATTTATGGCATGATTTGTGTGCATCCAGGTTGAGCACAGCTCAGTGAAGCTTACACCCAAGTTTCTTTACGCTTGCCACCTACAAAAAAGAAAGAGTTCTGACAGACAGAGTAGGTAATGAGGTACATCAAATATCAAATTGTCGAGTAATAAGTAATTTAACTGGCAAACAAGAAAACTAAATAAAACAGAAACATTTACATCTTTTCTCACCTGGGAGTGTTGCACCGGGAATCTGAAAGACTCTTTTGGTTTAGTCATTGAGGACTGTAAGCCTCATATATAGAAAGTATACGTTGAATTTATTATATTTCTGTTCTTATTTGTTTGTTTATTTGTGCATTTTGAGTCAGACATACAGTATTTTGCCAATAATCTAGGCTTCCGTAGTATTGGCAGGAAGTTCATGTTATTATGGAAACACATATGTAAAATAAAGTAGCAACGGCGGAGCTGTACGGTTGTTTCACCGTTGCCATTGCAAACAAGCTGTCACATCGTGTTAAAACAAGTCTCCTGTCCGTTATTTCGAAATGCAAGAACGAAAGAAGGTAAAACGGAAAATTACGATCCTTCAAGGACTTTCAACTTATAAGGATGAGGGGCATTTCCCTTCTGTTCACACTCATCTCTTATACCAAACCACATGACCCTCCCCCTTCTGAAAAACAAAGTTTTAGTCACTTGAAACATTATGTCACAGGCAGTAAAAAGTGAGGTGGACAGACAATGTTACATCAGAGGTGGTGACAATGCTGATGTCTGAGACCACCTCCATAATAAAACCTAAGGATGCTTAAAGATTCAGTTAATCTTTGTTTGGTCTCTTCTAAATGTTAAAGGTAAAACAACTAAAAACCGCATGCTCCTGTTTCTGTGTTTCCAGGTTACTTCTGCTAGAGGCTGGATATTCCACTGCTGTCATTCTGGGCTACACAGGAAAGAGGGAGCAGAGCAGCTGAACCACAGAAGCTTAAGTATGCAGTGGCCTCTGAGAGATGTAGAGTGTTTCAGATTCACAAAGGGAATTTTGCTTTCCAGCTTGGATGTATAAACTCTTTGAAGACTGTTTGGCCATCTTTGTCTTGACAACAATTCATGACTGTTGTCATGAGGGTTGTGGATCAAACCATCAGTTTTTACATTCCCATACTGACTCTTTCTGTTATCAAAAGTATTCCACCATGCTGAGCATAGCTCTGTATAATGCCTGATCTGTGACAATAATGTTTTCATCTAACCGACTTAGCGTTTAGTGAGTGGAGGTTGACTCGAATTGTTAAAAACTTTTTCTAACCCAAAAACTCTTTTCTAAACAGTAGAAATGTGAAGAATCCAGATAGAGAAAATACACAAAATAAAGTCCTATTGGGAATAAAGATTCATTAATCTTTCTCAGAGTTGTCAGCAAAGCACACTGAAACTAAGCCACAGCAGCATGAAAGTGAATAAAAACTTAATTGACTGAATATCATCAGAGATTGAAGTTTTTTATTAGGTAACTCCCCTCCTCCCTTCGCTTCATTAATTGGTTTTGTTTTAAAGTAAATGTTCCACAGAAGCAGTTCATTAAATGATTGAGAGGACAGTTTAGTGATGAAAGCCTATTGTGACGATATTCTGTGCTGCGGGGCTTGATATTTAGCTCATGTTTATCAGCTGCAGAAGTATTTGCAATTGCTAGCAAAAGAAGAAAAATTATTCAAAGGATTTTAGAAGGAAATTTTGTTGGAAAAACATGAATTGAGGCTAAATGGGTGTTTGTATTGGGATTACATGGTTTTATTCATCTGATGTAACTTTCATTACTAAAATGCGCTTTCAGTCTCACCTAATCTGAGGACCCTCTTGCTCATTTGTTTGGGCGTCTACCACATGCCTTTTTGGCTACATTTTTCTGTAAGAGATAGTCTTTTTTATGCTTTGGTCTATATCTTGCCTCCATTATTAATGCCATCCTTACTCTCTCTGTGAGTTTTACCGGATATCCCTATACCTCCTTGTTTCCAAAATTTTTCTCCATTTTAAGGAGATGATAGATTCAGTAGTGCAGAGTTACCTTTTCTGTGTTTGGGACATTTTTGGGATCAGCAGCTCTCTGAAAAAAAGTTTTGAAAAACAGGTAAATAAATAGTTGCAAGGGACATTTGAAGGTAAGTAGACATCTCTAACAGACAGTTTTTAAGGTGTGGCTCAGAAAACCTGTAGCACAGGTTTTTGCTTTAAAGTAGAAAAACTGTCAGATTTCTCTAATTTTGAGATTTGATTTATGTACAAACTGTGGAAAAGGTGTGATACTTCATGAGATCACAAAAGAAAATCAAGAATCACAGCAAGTTTTATCCTTTTTTGACATGTCCAATTAAAAAAAACGAAAAGTAACCAAAATAAAAACATTCTTACACTCTTCATTTGTATTTTTCTGCTGAAAAGAATATTTGAAATGTTTTTTTTGTTTTGCCTTAATAAAAATAAGTCTATGTTTAGGTGCTAGTAAGAAAGATCTACCTAAATAAAACAGGCTACAGGATCTACCTTTATCAGCTTTGCCAGA